ACGTTCACGATACGAACATTCTACCAGCCGGCTCGGCAATTCCAACCGTTGGTATCTCGTGCTTCGTCTCCTTCAATCATCCCTCTTAGGATAGCGACTCCTGATCGCAGAACGAACCGGCGGTGCATCTTCTCTCGATCCTGGGGAGTGAATCCACGATGGAGCAGGAAAATGCTCCCGTTCCACTTGGCATTGAGACTGAACAAGGCGAAGAGGCGGCGGGTGGTCTTTTCGGGCTTACGCATCGTCAGGGTTTCGCTAACCTGTTGATCGTTAACCGCTTGCCTGTTTACCTGGCTTTTTGAACGCTTATCTATCTATCAGCTCACGTACATGCCTTTTTTCGGCTGTGTTTGTACCGATTCGAGACTTCGGTTTTTTGCTCGCTGCTCGCTTGCCCAATGCGAGGCCCTTATGAACGCTGGTGGTAACTTGAAGGATGGCCGCAAATCCGATCCCATCTCGGTCACCAGCAAATAACTCGGCTGCTGCCGCAACAAAGACTGAAGAGCGCTTCATAAAAATTTCAAGCCCCATGATGGATCTGCATTATCACCGCGATCATCGTCATCTACGAAGCGAACAAGTTTATTTCCATCAATCCGGGGCATGGGACTTGGGGACTCGCCTCAACTGCCCGCCACCGTGCTGTAAGCAAAGGATCTTCGAAACTGTCGGAGATCGTTCCAATAAAGACCGCATCGGAGTACTCGCAATAATCCGAGATCGGAGCAAGTCGCTCCGATTGGAAGGAGCCGGGGACCTCGAATATTGAATGTTCGCTGTCGGCTCGACCGTTCTCGATCGCTTCGGATGACTACATCTGTCGAAAACCGAGAAGCAGAGTCTGCCTCGGCCGTCTTCGTTTTTGTCGAGCTGCTGCACATGGCGACTTAGTCTGCTGCCCCAGGTCAGCTCCGCATGATTCGCGGAAAATCCCCCGCCGATGCGAACGATCTCCGCCGAAAGCAGGGCTGTGGAAGCCCCTCAACAATCAAAACCGCTGACTTCTATCGGAACATTGCAATCTAGATCACGCAGCGATTGAGAAAGAGGGCAAACACTTTGAGCGCTCCCAATGACGAAACCCTCGAATGTTCTGCACGATGTACTCATTCGGGATTTGCTGGAAAAACGGAGAAACAAAAGTGACCCACTCAATGAAAATATTCTGTGCGGATGCCGACCCTTGGATAGAGCCGAATATGCAGAGCCACACGCTGGTCCCACGTGGGTGCTACTCTTGACCCGAATTTCCCTGATTCCCCGCAGCGGCCATCCGCCCAAAAATCGAATTCGCGAGAAAAATTCCGGTTCCAGATCATCAGTGTACGCTACGATCCGCTCCCATATCGGAAATCGTCGACGGCCGTACCGGAGAATTTTCGGGAAGACCAAGCTTGGAATCTGCTCTCATGCATTCGAATTTCCCATGACCGCCTCATCTGACTCAATCGGAACTAGGGAGGCGGAAGGTCTGCGAATATACACAGACAGGAAGCTCTGGGACGGCGCACTCAATAAGAGGCGACACATCTACACGAGGTTGATAGTTCATGGATTTCATCATCAATTCTGTACCAACACAACCTTCCACGAAGCGGACACGAATTGTATATGTACATATTGTCACATGTCATGCTGTAAATACCACGCGCTAGACTGCGCGGCATCTCATCCGTCGCTGACGGCGGTCGCACGAGCAAAATAGTGCAATGTTCGAAAAGAACGCTCAGAATAAATAAATAATATTTCACATACCGTCAATCGGAACTTACCCTTTCGATCCAGGAGTGGATTCCTCCGGCCCTGAGAACTGCCGTGGAAAGTCCTGCAGATTGTATTGCTCAGGCCCTCAGCAATGGGGTCGAGTGCTCGAGATTCAATCTTACGGCGAGCGATACAGTGTCTCTCGCAATCATCAGAATACGTCCAGCTGAGCAGCTTCCTGTCGACGTAGAGGAAGGAGTTCCGAGCAGAGTCCCAGTCGATGAACGGGAACTCAACCTTTGTCCCCTTCCATCTCCTTTTCGTCGACAGGAAACTGCTGCAAGTCGGAAAAATTGTGAATGAGCCAGGAAATAGTTTCAGCCAACGTCCCGGCAGCGATGGGAAATCAGGAGGAAGGACATTGAAACGAAGTTTCTGAGCGGATTCCCGTCTTGACACCTTTGATTATAGCGCCGGACCGAAATGAGGATCGAGCACGAGCAGTGGAACTACAGCATATTATGTTCCGAAATCCATGGGAGCAGGCCGCGGCGCAGCCCACTATCGGTCACCACCGGTCAGAGATCTGAATTTCAGTGAAGTTCGCCGTTTGTAATTTTTTCTGCTTTTCTGGAAGTACCGCTACTCCCACGGGGATCCCACTGTCTCTGCTGACCACTGGGACACTCGGTTTCCAATACAGGGCACGGCCCAGCGTTTGACACCTACGTAGATTCCGGCGAAACTTATGACTTGAGCTCATTCATCTCGTCTCACAGACAGCGGCAGATGATTCAGGCGAACATAATTCGCCGAGCAGCCTGTGAACGACGTGGCAGCCCGATAGAGCCGTTACTTGCGCGAAAATTAATCAAAGTACGAATACGGACGTGACCATCCGGTATGGAGGAAGAAAGATGTTCGACTCTGCAAAGTATACACTTCGATCTGTCGTCTCCGATGCTCCTGGATTTGAATCCGCTCGGGAGCTGTGCTTCCTTATTCGATGCGGAATAATCTGACGCGCTAAGGCTCCGAGCTTGGCATAGAGACCAGACGATGCTTTCTGCGACGGCATCTTATGCGCCTCGGAGCGGACGTCGGCAGCTCGACGTCAGACTCAGAGGGAACTCAAAGTCTCAGACACGTACCCGCGGATTCGCGAGTATAGCGGGCATCATGCAAATCGTGTGTATGAACTGAGAGCTTTATGCTTTCTCGGCTTTGACGGAGAATCGACCTCCTTCTCTGAGACACTATCTATTCTGTGTCGTGAGTCGATGATTCATGTCCCTCCCGAGTGCTCGTTAATGATGCACTCAAGATCTGGAATTGTCGACTCGGGAGAAGAACTCATGGAGAAGCAAAAGGTCCTTCACGTGGGTCCGAACGATGGCGAATATTAATCTCCTTTAGTAGCCCTGTATAGACACAAGGGGAAAGAATCGCGGCTGAAGGATCGAACAAGAGAGAACTCTGGAAAGACCCGAGTGAGCTCGATAGCGCCTGATCAATGGGGCTCGGAAGTTCAGGCATTTCGCCAAGAATGCCTATGGCTGCCTTCCTCGACGCTTTTCGAGTGACTATTCCGTTTTGGGTTCTTCCGTGCCTTAAGTGCATTTTCTAGCTACCAAGACGCCGAGTTCTGGGGAAATTCCGGATCTACGAAGGGATTCGCCGATGAGCAGGGTCGGCGCCCCCATACTTCAGGAACACATCTTCCGTTCGAAAAACCCCGATGGTCCACCTAGACTTCGATTTTTTTCCCATCATGTAATATGCTCCCATGAGAGCGGCGTCGATTACTCACCGATGGGAGCCCCGAATTACCACGCTTTCTCATGAAACGGCTCTGACGAACGGTTCGGTACGGCGCCGACCTTTGCTCTGCCTATCATGCCTATATTAAATGGTTTTGGTTCTCACGTTAAGGATTTTCGATGCCCTTTTCACCTGCCATTTCCGGCATTTTCAGTGCCTGAACTCCCGACCTGCACTAATCACACTCAGGGTAAACCCATTAAACTACAAGGAATCGAACGAGATTTGCATCCACTTAGGTAGATTGAGATAAAAAGCCGGAAGAAACTCACTCATGATTCTTGAAAGAGTTGTAGCACTCTACTGACAGTCGCGTTGGGCTCGCCGGAATGATATATCTGGCTAGTCTTATCAATCGGAAGAAATAATGATACTTTTATGCTTTCACAGGGGAACGGCGATGGGAGAACTATCTTAAGCGCAGACTCATCTAAATTGAAACCTCGATAACGATTTCGATGAACGTACTCCTAGACGTGGGTCTGTTGGAAATGAGTGCCCATAGCGATGTCGAGCAGCGAATATCGCATCGATTACTACCATAAAATCGGACCCCACAGTCTTTGCCAGAGCTCCAAAGTACAACTCGGAAGTCTTTCTATCCCTGCGTAGAGCCGAATAGGTTCCCTGGTCGATCATGTGTACTCGCGTTCCTGATTATGGGTTGATCGGTGCGGAGCGGGGGCGTTCCCCGCTATCAGGGTTGCGCTAGATAATCGGCCGCTTGGAATTCCTTCGAAAGCCTAAGTCCCTTGCATCAACGCAGTACAACTCTGGACGGAATGAGAGAGCGAGACGCTCGAGAGAATCGGGGCAAGGTTGATAATGCCTCGACGACAGCTGAAGTCGAGCATCCACCATCAAGCCCTAAGCCGGGACGATTGCCACCGCCAGGAAGAGGCACCCTCCGTTTTAGCGGCGCCTGCGTCAATGCACGACGCGGGGTTCAGCCGGAGACGTTCCGCGAAAATAATTTTTGTTGAGCTTTCCTCGAAAGGAGATGTTTATCCTGGCTCTCCCGGGTCTTTCCTTAATCCTGGATTTCATTTCCGCCGCGAATATACTCAGAAAAATCGTCAGGATTCAATCATCACTGCCGTGAATACCTCTGGAGCGCTTCCAGAAAACTCCACTCGAAGCGCTTCTAGGAAGCTCTATCGAGGTTTCGGTTCTGATGTGTGATAATATTCCTGAGAATAATTATTTTCCTCAGATATCCGGAAGGCTTGATCATCACCATTGTTCAGCCTTCGCCGATCACTACTCTGAATAAGAGTCGGAAAACCAACGAGTAGAGAAGTATTCTCTTCATTGTGGGTCGCTGCTTGCTTTCGGTAAGAGAATTCGAAAAAGTTCTCGATCCAGGCGAACAACGCCTCAGGCACCGGATTCGCTTCTCTCGGGAATATCGAGAATTCCCATCGAGTCGGACGACTTCAAAAGATCCTCCATTTCGACACATGAAATTCTCCTCCTCCAGAACGCCACCAACATTTTATTCTACAGGTACAATATGCATATCCGGATACCGAGTCAACTTCTCCTAACTGAACAACAGTAGAAATCTCCAGACTCAGGTGATCATGTAGTCTCTTTCGATGCGCGGAGGACATCCTCTTGGAAAGAAGAGCTACGTACCCAGTCGCGCTACATTGTCCATCGTTTCCGAGCCACCATGTCCATTAGTCTTAGGACAGTTCATCAGATTCATGCACCCTGAACGTAAGAATATGCGTGAGCATTGGCTGCTGCGAAGTTTCGGTCTCTCTGGTGCCGAGCTCCTCAGTCCGCTATCAGATCGGCTCGCCCCAGGCTGGTGAGGTCGCGATTCATAGGCCGAGCTGATCGAGGCTCAGCAATGCTCCTGAAGGCGCATTGAGGTTGACGGCAGAAGTTGTCAGACATTGATAGATTTCACATGGCGCCCTTTCAGAGGTTCCCATGGGAATAGAAATCCGTTAGCCAGATACAAGAAGGCGGGACCCTCACAGAGGGCTCCTCGACGTCATCTCCTCTTTCGGCTCATCTGGAGAGTGAGAGATAATGATCGTATCCACCTCATGCCCTCCGTGATCTTCTGGCGCGGATACGCTGCTACCATCGGAAATACAAGTCTTGCATGAGATGCGCTGTGGCCATGCTGCGGGCCTCGGATGAAGCATCAGGAAAAAAGGCAGCAAATGAATTATGTACAGGTTCTGAGTGAACTCGTCGGTCTGGTCTTGTTCGACGTCCAATGCCGATGGAGGGGCAATCAGGCGCCGTGATTAGCTTCAGAACTCGGAAACGGCCTCCCCTATCAGGTGTCCCACAGGCGTATCAATGTACAATACTTGTCCTATGATGTCTCCATGGACGCTTGATCAGAGTGACAACCTGGGTGTGTTTTTGATCAGAATCTGATTATCGATGATTTGGAATAATTCTCCGGGGGACGGGAAACGTCCGCTGGCGAGTTTTGACCAAACGGGAACATCTGGAGGAAATTCAGAACATCAGTATTCAAGTCAATAAGCATTTATCGTAGGTCGAAGGCTCCCATATGCTTTCACCGGTAAGAGTCGTCTTGTCCCTAGGGGCCGTCTGAAGCTCCAGGATACTTTTAGTGGGGTTTCACTGACCATTGTAAAAAATCTCGAAATGCCCTGTCGCGGAAAGTCGCGACTCGAGAGTTGAAATCAGCAAGAAAATTGACATGGTCACCATCATCTGGAAGCGGGAAGCCAGAGTCATTCCAATTGAGGTTGGCATTGATTCGGTCGGCTCAGCTCTCGATAATAAAAGTCGACAATTGTGAGAGGATATTCGATAATCGGTGAGGGCAAAACAACTCCGGGCGTGGAGGAACTCACTCTGTTGTTAACAGTGAACTCGACAAGCCGTGGGAATCGAGATTGCAGACGACCCAATAAATTCACCTGGAATTCAGACCCGTGACCAACGAATATTCGAGTACATAATCAAAATCGATTATTCTTATCAACGGCTCGAGATCACCATCAAGAGGTGTTCTGAAGCGGACCTACCTTAAACAACAGCAGTGCTGCTAAGCCAAGTTTGAGCGCGGTCAGAGATCGCGAAACATAACGACTCCAAGTCGAGTGCTGGAATGGTTCTCCGCGAGCTTGTACCTTTAAGCATTGAGTTCAAGTAGCTAGTCCTGCGCTCCTCCCTCCTATTTTCGTGATTTGTTCGCCGCAGTCTTTCTAAGCGTATTTGCTCACCTCGCCCTGATATTTCTCGTTGAGAAGAACTATATATTGCTCCAAAGCCCGTTGATAGCCGGATGTTGCGCTAGAAAGCAAGATATTCATCGACCTCACCACCTTTTGACCAACTCCACCAGTCGACTACATTTTATTCGAGGAGATTTCCTAGGTTGAAGTCGGCCGTCAGCCGAGCGAAGAGAGCCAGGATGAATCTCGTCCCTCTCGTTATGTGGATCAGATCTTCTGCTTAGAGCTCTATAGCAATTCAATCATATGCCCGCGGCGCAGGGCATCCTGCGAATCATGAGTTTCTAATGTGGAATCCACATGATATGAATTCTCCGAAACCGTTCCCAATATGATCATTCCAGTATGAAACTTGATGTGACTGGTCATCGCACGGGATGGTCTCATTACGCCGTGGAAGTCCAATCTGAGCGAAGAGGATCTGATCACGAAAGTGACCAATTTTGTTTTTGAATCAATCTGGTAATCCTATCCTCGATCATTCGTTGAAGTCCCATGAGGTACCGGGCTCGGGGGAGTTGGGGAGGGGAGATCGCTCAAGGGAAATCGCCGGAATCGACCAGTAGCGTATTTTCGAGACTTCATTGCAACAAGTTGAGCGGAAGAAGGAAACTCACCAATAGACTACCCGCAGGATGGGAAGTGCTCCTCCGGGGAGATCAGACAAACTACGGCTCTTCGGTATGATCTTCTGCGAGGAAGTCAAGCTAACACTGAACACTAAGAGCAAGCAGAGGATTTCGGAAATCCGACCCATTCCGTCGAAGAGTCGGAGAGATGCTGTGCAGGTTCCGGGATTTCAGTGCGGCTCCGTTTCAACGGCTACGACAAGCAACACAGCAAGCCAGCATACTGCCACAGGTTCACTGACAGAGTTTCCTCAAAGCTCTCAGGAATCCTCATGGAATTTGGAGAAGCTCCATCAGACCACGCGACAGCATCATGCTTGTCCAAGTTTACTCATCGTAGCACAAGCGGCAATCAGCTGATGTCTCCCAGGCTGCCGACTTGACACCACATGGCTACTTGGTTCCTCGGGTGGCTACTTGGATCAGGATGCCGGCGCTTCGCAACATCGGGATCGCCACGCTCGCTTCTTTCGCATATCATTCGACGATGTAATTCGCGGAAGCGGAGCTTGATCGTTTGGATCCGTAATTCGTCGAGGAAGACGTCAGAAGAGCGGAACGTTCTCCAGGTTGAGACCTGCGGAGCGAGCAGAGCTCTGCGATGATCCGATCACCCTAATGTCTCGCATATAAGGGACTTTCACATCGCCGCCCATGACAACCAACCATTTCTTCTAATACAATTCACTATGGGATCATAAAAGTCCCTCATACGTGAGACTTCATCGAAAAATCTAACTCCGGAGAAACTACTGAGAAAACCACTGCATTTGGAGGGAGGATTCGGCTCATTCGCATGAAGCTCTCGCTCTATCCAGACCGCTCCCTCGACTTATAGGTCGAAAGACACGACAGCCCTTCTGTTCTGCTTCTCCTCAAGTTCTACTCATTCCAATGGAAAATTTCCGCCAAAGATAATGAATTCGGAATATGGATCAACTGCAGATGGAATATTTAACCAATTTCACCCTTTTGGAAGAGAGGGAGGGGACCTTACGCGGGCTGTCGGAATGTTCCCGCGGACAATTATTGAGTAAACAGTAGGTACAGGTCGAGGGCTCAGAAGAAAAATTTGATTGGAACGATGCTGCGACGGGAGTCTTTGGTATAAGTCCATTGATATTCGTCGGTTGGCATTTATTTATGTACCTAGCTGGACCTCGCCTCACGATTTCAGAGCTCATTCATATCAACCAACTACGAGTAAGCAGAATATAATCTTTGACCTTTATCGAGTCATGATCTCTCTACGATATGCTCTGCCGCCGCTGATACTGATGCTGTTGGTTCATGGCGAAGTTCCCAAAAAGACTGGATATATCCCAAAATTCTTCTGTGGTGAGTGCTCCTCTCGATGAAATGTTCGCCGAAGTAATCTCCTTAAGGAGCACAGCTCCTCCGCACGGTCGAGAAGCTAGGAATCCCGGTGGGACCATACAGGAGGGACTTGGTCTTTCCCTTGAGAGCGGAATGTGGATCGACCCCTCAATTGGATCCCGCAACGCTCGCGGTAGCCCCTTGGCGACGCCCCTTCCTCGAACCTGAAATTGTGCTCGCCAAAACCGATCGCTGAGGCGCCTCGTTCCTTTCGCAACAAATGATTCTCTGCTCGACTCCCCAGATCTCGACGAAGCTCAACTCCATCAGCAAACTCACTGCATGGAAGATATCCTGCCGGAGAATGTAATGTACTGAGAGATGAAACTTCATTCATTATCCAGAATATCACCCCCGTTCTGACACAAAGGTCATCGAGTTCTTCATTCGAGTGCTCCATATGTGTGGCACCCTGGAGCTCCGTGGGGAAGACACTATTCAGAAGGAAGAGTTTCACGCTGGAGCCTCCTGAGGCTCCCGATCAAAATGAGAATTCGGTCAACGAACGTCTCTAAGAAACGGGATTGCTGATTCCAGCTAACGGTGGTGTTGAAAGAGAAGATCGAGAAATTCCTCAAAGGCCGACCGATGTACGACTTCCTCCAAGACCTTTGTAAAAGAACGCCAAAACTCGTTCTTCACGGAGTGAGTTATTTACCGGAGCTTTCTCATTCCGCCTCTGAAACGAATTTCGAGACCATGAACCCAAGAAAGATGCATCCTGCGTGAGTTCTTGCATTATATCCTCAACAAATCCTCTGGAGACGTCAACATAATGATAATTTCCATGCAGAAACGAGTAGCACTGCAAGCGGTTCCTGTGAGTTGAGCTACTGTGCTATCCTCGCACTCTTAAAATTCGACCTGCTGTCTGCCCAGGCTTGACGCTTCGCCCGAAAATTTTTCGTTTTGCCTTGCAGAAGCAGTCCAGAACCCTGGTGTCGGTCGCGATCGATGCCTGTTTGAATGCCACCTTGTATTTCATGCCGCTCATATCCAAAACGGTGAGAAATGTCGTCTTCATCGATGCTAGACAGTCCAGAGGTCGGGCTTCGAGGGTGGCGAAAGTCTCACTGAACAGAATTCTCGTTTCACAGAAATACGAGGACTTGGAATGAAAGCTCGGCCGGAATCTTCTCTCGCCGCGATCATGCCGAGCAGGAAGCCAAAATTTCGCAGCGTATATGATGTTCAATTATTCAAGAAGTGTCGATGTTGATCGTCAAGAAAACTGCGCAAAGGTGTGGGTGTGGAAACGAGAGTACGATCCGATTGTTTGCATTTCATCTTCATCAGCACGAAAATTAGTGCAGAGCCGACGGCTCCCATTCTACTGGAGGGATCCCTCATGACGAGCACTGCGCATCCGTCGCTTCGACCCAGGGGATTTGATTTCGGCGGAAGGGAAATGAAAGCCAATACGAGCCTGACATTCCGCTTCGGCATCTCATCATCAATAAACTCATTCTTTCATCCCCTCATCGGCTCGCTTCGATGCTCATCCCAGTTTGGAAAGAATACGTAGAGCTCTCGAATCTCCTCGTGGGGCGGAAGCAGGAAAAGAGGCTCATCTTAGGAAAAATCCTCTCGGATTCCGTAGTTCCCTTTCCGAATAGATACCCGGGGCCTCGGTTCCTATATGACGTCATGAGAGAGCTGTTCGATCGCTTGATTGGGAAGTCAATAATCCAATCATCGGAAAACATTCCCATACGCCATCAGACGGTTTCCGCTTCTAGCTGATTAATCTTAACCAGTTCCTGAGATGAGGTCCTCAGTGTTGTTGACTTTTTCTCTCGGCTTCCAAGTGATTCTAACTGCAGAAGAGAAAACTGGGCTTATCGATCGATTCATCTGCGGTGAGCCCGGCAATAAGCTATCGAAAGCTCTTCGGATAACCAATAGACCCAATAAGGTTCACCCTATTCTTGTCCATTACAGACCTGAGCTCGGAGCATATAAAGGCCTTGACGGATTGCGTCTCGCAAATCGTGGAGCCAGAGGTGAATCTGAAGATTTTTGACACAGTTCCTGGGAAATCCCGCACTTCCGAATCGATCCGCTCGATTTGTCTCGGTCGGGCCGGACGCCCTCAATATCCGTGAATTGCCTGGCACCGATCATTACGGAGGTAGCCGCTCGGACTCACGTTCTAGATGTTGGTCACATTGTCTGCTCTCTTTTCCCAGTTCCTGAAGGTGGTGAAGGTCAAAATGAACAAGACAACTAGAAACAAGACCATTGTCGACTTCGTCCGCATCACCTGCAAGAGAACTCCGAGGATGTTACTGAACGCAGTGAGTTCGAGAGTCTCAGAGATCCCAGCCTGACTGGGCTCGCGCTTGGAAGGGACCTCTGAAGCAACTTCCTTAGCCTCAGTCGAGCCTCACGTTTTCATGCGTACGTAGCAAACCCAACACAGAACGGCCCCGAGGATTCCCACCCCTCGCAGCTGCACGGGTTTCAAGAAGAAAATTATCACTCAGCTTTATTCGGATTTATGAGGAGCAACTCGGTTATTCTCCTCTTCGTGGGTCTCAGACTGTCTCTCCTTGCTGGAAACTAGCTCGCACTACTGTCAGCACCGAGAAGAACGGTTGTCAGGTTCAATGATCATTCCGGAGACTCATACATATAGGGGATATGGTGCAGGGCGAGACTCGATTCGAACACATCCCCGATGGAAGCGCAGGGGTGAGGTCGGGGTGGACGTGACTCGGGGGCAGAAGTTCCTTTCGCACTCAGGAACCTCCTTGTAAGCGGGAATTCCCTTGCCTCAGGGCAAAGCGAAGAACTTCCCCTCCGAACAAGCCTCAATAATCGGAATCTCTTCCAGCGGAAGATATTGGTTGGGATGGCTCCAGTGAGTATCATCACAGAAGATGCAGCTGTCCATCATGGGCTCTGCTCAAATCTTCTTTATCCGCATCACTCACTGGGGATACAGAGCCCTCAGCGCGAAATTGGTGATTCGGTAATCTCTACTTTTCGACAGGAAGCAAGACGCCCTTCTTTCCGCTATTTACTCGAAACTTGCGAAAACGCAACCTTCTACTACCTTCCTTATACACCAAAGACGGTATCATCCAAAGCTCATATTTTATCCGCCGGTCATATCACTACCGATCCGACGAACTATCTTCGAGACGAAAAACCATATCGATTTGCAGCGATACGAAGATTTGGACTAAATCATCAAAACCATCTGGAGGGCTAGAATTTGCTCGCTATCCCCGATCATATAAGCGCGACTCAACTTGTACCTTGTGCGATATTTCGCAGCGACCAGCCCCAACTTTTTAATGTCATAAAAGAAATTCGAGAAATGGAAATCGTCATTGACTGAGTTCGGCCTTCTCTGCTGCCAATGATCTCATCGAACAGTACGTCTACATCAAACCCTCTGCGCCGAATGTCCTCGAGTGATCGAGAGCGCTGGTGAGCAAGCAAGATAAAAAACGGTGAGCAGCCTGTAGCATATTTCAGCCTTACAGATTGTAGCGGAATGACCCGGACAGCGCCAAGGCCGGCTCTGATAAAACAAGATCTCCAATTTGTTTCCAGTCGGAACCAAAGTCTCGCCCTTGGAGTTTCCGATCAGTCATTCTGCGCGCTTGATTTTGTTCACGGAACGGAAGTCATAAATGCCGCACCGATGATCCTCGCCACAATGCGTCCAGCCCCAGGCTCGACACCTCTGAGGAGGCGGGATTATAGCGGAGGGTTCGTGCTTTGTAGCTTCACCACGTAGATACCGAGATCCCGGCGAAAGACGGTTCGCGATGACATTGAGGAAGCATCAGATTTCGAAGTTTTGCCTCTTTTTCGCGAGAATATCAGCCCAAGACTCGTGCTACAGAGCAGAATAGACATATTCAGCGTGGTTGTCTCTGCATGAGGGTAGGCGATATCCGGAGAGGAGCACATCTTCGTCGTACCTCAATGATCCCAGACAAGCAACAGATCTTCCCGGGGGAGCTCGAAG